ACTCTGACACCGAGCCCCGAGTTGAGTTTCTTTCCACGCCTTCCTTTCGCTTGAACGGACAAATACATACAAAAGTATGTCAAAATACTCCTCTTGGCGAGTAACTTTGTAGCTTTATCAATGATTAATCTACTGTATATTTAATTTATACAGTGGAGTACAGATGCATCAGTCGACCGGACATTTTTTTTGTTTTATTTCAGACCATCTCTATTTTGTGCTTTCACAAACTGCACTGCAATCATTTTCCAAAATGTTATTTGTGTGGAAATATTACATTATATTTAGTCTGTAAACGGCTGTTAACAGAGGCCAGCGACACTGAAGATGAATGCAAAGAGGAGAAAATAGGCAGAGCAAGATCACTGTTCACAATGCGCGAAATATAGGAAGAAAATCCTAAATAATGAATTTTATGAATGCGTTTCTGGGGGGAACTTACTATCTTTAGAAAAGGTTAGATGGTATTTTCTTTTCATTTTGCCTCAGTTATATTACAGTAGGGTTTAGGCTATAAGAGCAGAGCTGCTATGTTTGCAGCAGTAACCAGCCAAGGAAACAATTTAATCAAATAAATGCAGCCTTGGTGAGCACAAGAGACTTCTTTCAAAAACATAAAAGTAAAATCCTACCAACCCAAACTGGTAGTGTTTGTGTATATATGTATACATACATATATTACATTTCAACATTTGATTTAAGGTAAATTCTATGGCATTTAAATTGCATATGTTATAAAAGGTGCTACTTTCTCTTTCACTCTCTCTCTCTCTCTATCTCTCTTTCTTTCTGTGTGACTCCTCCCTAAAGTGAGCGGCATAATCCGTCAGCAGTTTTTACACATCTCTTCTGCAGCTCACCACATGATTTCTGTTCAAGGAATTTTACACCAGGACTTATGCAGGTCTCTGCGCACTTTATGCCCATTGACCTCTCCCGTCAGACGTCTTCTTTTAGTCTGGCGCAAGCTCATAGGCTGCCGGTCGGTTATGTAACGCCCCGTCATTATGGTTATGCAAGCGAAACATGGATCTGCACACGCTGGCTCCCCTTCCACACTGATCTCTCTTAAAGGGGCGGCGCTACATCACCCTGCAACAGGGTTTGTGGAGCACTAGAGCATATATGAGGAGGCTGAGATGTTTGTGTGCCGTTGCCATTGACTTTGTTATGCAATTCTATTATTACAGTACAACAGGGGATTTTTTTTGTGCTTTCCATTACTTAAAACATCTGCTGAAGACGTAAGGATTGTTCAGATCGAATATAAGCAACAGGATATTATGTCATTCTCTAGGGCTTCTATATTTGATAAAGAGTAAAACATTAATAGATAATAAACTCAAAACATACCTTTTACTCCATTTTGAGTAGATCGAAGTGTAACCACACATTTAGTCTCAAATAATGCATTCAATTCTGTTTATCCCAGTAGGAAAACAGATTGATTCTCATGAAGTCAAGAGTTTATATATTGACTCTTCAAACACAGTCATACTGTTGAAGTGTATTTTAATGTGTGTCGTGGACATGCAAAACTTTATCAGTTATCAGTTTCCTTATTCTATTTTATTTTTAATCTTTCTTAGTATAGATTGTTGATGAGTGGTTTTAAGGGGGAGTTATGTTCTCATTCTAATGAGAAAACAAAAATAGAAAAATGCACTGCAGACAAGATGAATTATCAATGTTCATGGTTTGTTTTCCAGAAAGAAAATTTTAAATGCAGAAGGTATTTTTGTCAACTTTTAGGAGAACATTAGCATATATATACACTACTGTTCAAATGTTTTCTTTAATGTTTAAAAAAGCTCTTTTATGCTCAATGAGGCTGCAAAAAAAAAAAAAAATTGTGAAATATTATTGCAATTTTAAATAAACTTTTTCTATTTGAATATATTTAAAAATGTAATTTATTGCTGTGATGCAAAGCTGAATTTTGAGCATCATTACTCCAGTCTTCAGTGTCACATGATCCTTCAGAAATCATTCTAATATGTTGATTTGCTGCTCAAGAAACATTTCTTAACAGTGCTCGACAATAAGGACTGCCCGATGTGCCCGGGGCAAGCTTAAAAGACGCTCGGGACAGTTGATGGATCTGTCACTGGCCTGATCAGGCCACTGCTGCGCCGTCACAGAAGTTTATCATTTGCACATGTTTTTAGGCCTTGCTAATTTAAAAATTTGTACGATTTGAAAGCATTCAAGCAAGACGCTAAAGACAACTCCATTCAGTACTCTGACACCGAGCCCCGAGTTGAGTTTCTTTCCACGCCTTCCTTTCGCTTGAACGGACAAATACATACAAAAGTATGTCAAAATACTCCTCTTGGCGAGTAACTTTGTAGCTTTATCAATGATTAATCTACTGTATATTTAATTTATACAGTGGAGTACAGATGCATCAGTCGACCGGACATTTTTTTTTGTTTTATTTCAGACCATCTCTATTTTGTGCTTTCACAAACTGCCCCTCTTGGCGAGTAACTTTGTAGCTTTATCAATGATTAATCTACTGTATATTTAATTTATACAGTGGAGTACAGATGCATCAGTCGACCGGACATTTTTTTTGTTTTATTTCAGACCATCTCTATTTTGTGCTTTCACAAACTGCACTGCAATCATTTTCCAAAATGTTATTTGTGTGGAAATATTACATTATATTTAGTCTGTAAACGGCTGTTAACAGAGGCCAGCGACACTGAAGATGAATGCAAAGAGGAGAAAATAGGCAGAGCAAGATCACTGTTCACAATGCGCGAAATATAGGAAGAAAATCCTAAATAATGAATTTTATGAATGCGTTTCTGGGGGGAACTTACTATCTTTAGAAAAGGTTAGATGGTATTTTCTTTTCATTTTGCCTCAGTTATATTACAGTAGGGTTTAGGCTATAAGAGCAGAGCTGCTATGTTTGCAGCAGTAACCAGCCAAGGAAACAATGTATTGCTGCTGTTCCATAAGCGCTACCTGCTGGCAGAGAGTGAAAGTGCGTCTCATTCAGCCCATCTGCTGTTTTTGTTTTGTGCAGATGTTTTATGTAGCATAATTTCACAAAGTTTAAGTCAGAACATTGTATAATTTCAAAATTTGAAGCAAAAACGGTCTAATTTAACCTTTGTTTTTTTGGATCTATACGTGATTAAAATGCAGTGGTTACCACTCATTTCAAATGGCTGTGAAAAATCAAGGTGCAACACTGAGTGAAGAATATGCAATGTTATTTTACATGTGATTATTCCGTTTCTGTACTTGAACACTTACAAACATAACCTAAAGCATCATTTCATTTGTATCTTTGTTCTATATATTCAGCGATGTTATTGCTTGTAATTTATTTGTTTGTTCTTATTTACTGACTGTTCACTTGTCTTTAATAATGTTTGAACTTTATATTTGTTAGGCTAGTAGTTTTTGTTGTGACATCGAAATTTAAATTCGAGCATCGTAAAATTGAATTTGTTTCTAAATATTGGTGTAACGCTGGGTATCGAGTTCAACACTTTTTAGGCACCGACCGAATTGCCTCGATACCATCGAGTATCGAAAAGCGTCTCGTCGCTCGGTACCAAATTTCGATTGACTTGCGCTCTGTCTCAACTTTCACCTCGCGCATGCGCTGTTGTACGCGGCTGTCCGCGAGCCCTCCTGATGACGAAAATTACGTGGACGGCCGAAGTATACTTTGGCCTTAAGCCTGCAGCACTAGCCGGTGTATTCGACTAGAAGAGGTGCGGTGCAGATTGATCATTGTTTGACATCCGCGAGAGCGATTCGAAAGCGCACGGAGCAGTCTGCTCTCTTTAGCTCTCATAGTACTATAATACACCGATCGGTCTTAAAATTGATTTCATAAAATTGGTATCGAAAAAAGTATCGTTCAGGAACCGGTATCGAAGTAGAGTCAAAATCTTTGAATGATACCCAGCCCTATATTGGTGTCATTTAAGCGTATTTATTAGAATACAAGATAACTTGGATCAAAAACAATGATAACAGCAACTATTTAATTTTTTTGTGGCAGGGCCAGTGAAAATGTAGGCAGGGCAAGTAAAAATTTGAACCACTGGCCTGACCGGGCAAGTAGAAAAAATCCTTAGTGTTGAGTCCTGCTTAATATCAATATTGAAAACCGTTCTGCTGCTTCATATTTTGGTTGAAATTTTGTTTATGAACAGAAAATTCAAAAGAACAGCATTTGTTTGTAATATAAATATTTTGTAACATTATAAGTTGCATTGTCGATCAATTTATTTTTTAAAAATCTTACTGACCCCAAACTTGTGAATATTTATTTATTTATTCATTCAATTTAAGCTAACAACTAACAGTCACAAATACAATCACAGATTGTAGATGTTTAATAGCTCTGACACAGACTGGTTTCCCAAATGTTGGATAATCCAGAGAAAATATTTAGCCTTAAATATCTAGTATCTAGAAAATATCTAGTCTAGCCTTGACCTAGTTGGACAAATCTTGCCTCAAAGAATGTATGTGTGTTTTGTTTTCAGGCCTAATTTTTATTTTATTTTTTTACTAGGAACAAAACATTTGTCATTTGTCACATTTTGCTATGTAGTTCTGTGAAATCTCTTTGGTCCTAAATCCTACTCTGTTCTACTTTATATCAAATATGGTCAGATTTGCTATGATTTTTCTGTGTATCTGTGTATTTTCTGCATTTTTGCTTTCATTGTGAACAGGCAAATGTTGCTGGAAACATGTTGTTACAGGTTATGACACTGTTTCTCTCAGTGCTGACCACTAAATGACATGTTCCTGCTGCTTGTCTGGTTTTAAGTCGTCTCCAGCCATGCTGCCAAAAGTCTCACATCGTGAAACTGATTAATAAACCTGCAGCGGTGTTCACACAGCTGTTTGTTTACACACATGGCAAGATTCCTTGACCTTGATTACTTTTCCAGCCCTTAGCATCACTTTTCCACAGTTTTTCTAAGAATCCTCTAACAGGAATCTTCACATTAATCTAGGTGGTGGACATCATGAGAGTGAACGTTGATAAGGTCCTGGAACGAGACCAGAAGCTGTCTGAACTGGATGATCGTGCCGATGCCCTGCAGGCCGGTGCTTCCCAGTTTGAGACCAACGCCGCCAAACTCAAGAGGAAGTACTGGTGGAAGAACTGCAAGGTATTTCAAGGATGCACAGGAGTGATAATATCATACACTCATTTAGTTGAAATACATTTCTTAAATATTAAAGGGGTCATATGACGTTGCTAAAAAAAGAACATTATTTTGTGTTTTTGGTGTAATGAAATGTTTTTATGTGGTTTAAGGTTAAAAAAACACATTATTTTCCACATACTGTACATTATTGTTTCTCCTCTATGCCCCGCCTTTCTGAGAGCGATGAGACAAAAACATTAAAACCCATTATGAGGCATTTGTTGCATCCAGTGGGGACATAATGACTTATACTTGGTTTGAAGTGTTCTGGAACAGTGTTGTAAATACAACTTAACCACTGATTTCTAGTTGTGTCCACTTTTGGAAGACCAAACAAAGTAGTTCCACTTTCACAACGAAACACACAGCGTCTCCACGACATGGCAGTGGCGGCAACAATACTACAGCGAGAATAAAAGTTACGCCGCCTTTCTTTGCGTGAACCTTTGGGCGGTGTTATGCACGCGTTTGAATCGTCAGTGGCAAATTCTTTAAATATGAAAACTTAAAGTTACGCCGTTAAAGTTAAAGTGAAAAAAAGTTACGCCGCCTTTCTTTGCGTGCTCCTTTGGGCGGTGTTATGCAAATCTTCCCACACAGTGACGTAGACATGTGGGGGCGTGTTAGAACGAGCCGTTTTAGGTAGGCGTGGTTGACTCTTAACTTTTATAAAGAA